CAGCGGAACCGGGGCCGCCTCCCGCGCCATTGCGGACGCGCGCGCCGCGGGTGACACAGGGCGCCTCGGTGCGGGCAGGCAGCTTTATTGGCAGAGCAGCGGCCGCGACAGCAGCGCGGCCGCAGCGGCGCCCCGGGCCGCTCAGGGGCTCGCGGCGGCGTCCGCGGGGTTGCGCAGGCGCCCCAGCATCTGGCCCAGCATCTGGTTGCAGAGCGCGGCGTAGGGGTTGAGCAGCACGAGCTGGCGGCGCGCGAAGGCGCTGCCGAGGCGCGCGGCCTGCGCGAAGTCGCGCCGGGCGTCGTCGTCGCGCGCCTGCAGCCGCCGGATGAGCCCGCGCTGCACCAGGCTCTGGCAGGCGGCGCGCCCGCGCCCGCGGCCCAGGCGGATGGCGGTGTCCAGGTCGCGCAGGGCGCCTGCGTGGCGGGAGCGCGAGCTGCAGCCGCCAACACCACCGCCAGTGTCACCACCACCACCAGCAGCAGCAGCAGCGCCGCGGGGCTGCCCCGCGCTCACCTGGCACGTCGCCGCGGAGGCGCAGGGCCTGCGCGCGGTTGTTGTAGGCGGAGGCGCGCTCGGGCAGAAGGCGGATGGCCTCGCTGAAGCGCTGCAGCGCGGCGCTCACGTCGCCCGCCTCGGCCGCCGCGACGCCCTGCAGCTCCAGGTCGCGCGCCTGCTCCAGCAGCGCCGGCGCGAAGGGCTCCTCTGCGGCGCACGCAGCGTCGGCGCCACACGGGACCCTGCCGCCCCGCGCCCCCCGCGCGCCCCTCACCTTCCTGCGGCAGCTCCTCGTCCTCCTCGTCCAGCCCCACGACGTCCCCGAAGGGGCTGCTGGGCTGGAAGATGCTCTGCAGGACGGCCCTGTCGTTCGCCGTGGCCATGGCGCCGTACGCTCCGCGGCCGGTTAATGTTCACCCGCGGGCGTCCCGGGCCAGCGGCGCGAGGGGCCCGGCCCAGGGGACCGCGGGGAGGGCACCCACGCCACCGCCTCCCGCCCGCCAATGAAGCCAAAGGCACCCTCTGCAGCAATAAACTTGACATGTTTATTAATTAAACTATCACTTAAATAAAAAAAAGTGCATAGAAAATAAACATGTTTAAAAACTCCTTTGTTTTTTGTTGTTTTTTCGTTTTTACAACTATGTACACTTTTTATTTTTACATTCAGTCTTTTGCAGAGCTTTCAGCATTTTTTTTTTTTTAACTATTAAAGTATTTCCTTCTTCCCTGTGCCAGGGAGTTAACACTGATGGACTTTAGACGCGTTTCCTCTTTTTTTCTTTTTGCCTTTTTTGTCTTTTTTTCTTTTCTTTTTTATTTTTAATAGAAAAAAACCCAAAGCTTGGAAGAACACAAGAAGGAAAGAAAAGAGTCGTTATACATGATAAGTTGCCAAGAAGTGTATTTCTAGAACATAACCTTGCTTTTGCAGAGCTTTTTTTTTTTTTTTTTTTTTTCTCAGTTTTTGAAACAATTATTCACCTACCTGTACTTACTAAAGACTGTTAAGCTCAATAAAAGAAACACCACAAGTATAGTTCTTGGTTGAGAGACGAAGCTACAGTACCTTGTTCCGAAGATACCAGGAAAGCACAGAGCACATTTTCCCCGTATGCAGGTGGTACCCCAACATTCATAACCGCAAGGAGAGGGAGGGAAGGGGAAACCCGCGGGGGACAAGGACTGACCGGTAAGAGCGGGGCCGGGAGGCGCTGGGGCGGCGCAGGGCGGGCGAGCGCCCGCGAGCGCCCGCTGCGCGGCCTGCCCTGCGCCGCCCCGGCCCTCCGGCCCCTTAGCAACTGCAACACAATCCTTATCTATAGTGTTAAGAGAATCAAAAGCCATGGACCGATACTGAACTAGGCTTCATTACACGGTGCATTACTATATTAGTTCCTATATATATCGTATTTATAGTTACAAAAGAAAAAGAGACCTTGCGAGGGTGTCGCGTGTGGACCGGTAGCGTGGACTCGAATGGCATGATTGCTTCTGCACAACGACCGTCTTGCTGAAGAACCCGGTATTGCTTGGAAATGAAAGGAGGGACAGAACACGACGAGAAACAGAAAGATACCCAGCCCTTTGCAATGACCCGCTTTTTTCCTTGACAAAAACACCTGCTTTGTACAAATAAAAACAAACGCCCTAAGGTTCCACGTGTAGCACTTTCAGATAGCATGATCCGTGTCAGTCCCTGTACAATGTACATTCATGGCGCGGGCCGCGCGGCCGCCGCCGCCGCCGCCACTGCTGCCGCCGCCGCCCCGCGCGTCCCCGCCGGCCCCTCAGTGCATGGGGCGGCCCCGGCGCCCCGCGAGCGCCCGAGGTCCAGCCCAACCTCCCCCAAGCAGTTACTGAAGTCACCAAGGCAGAACAAGAATAATTATAACAACGATAAAAATAAAAAAAAAAATAACAACAACAACAACAACAACAACAAAAAGTGTCTCCCTCTCTCTGGAGAAAGGATCAGACTGTGTCCAGCCAGGTATTTCCTATAACCGTCCTATGAAAATAAAAAAAAATATTAAAAACAGATTCTTTTAAATTAGGATAACACCACTGTTTAAAAAGCCTCATCATAAGTGCTTTTCCCTATGAAGTGCTTCTCATAGAAAAATATACAAAATATATTTACATTTATAAAACCTTAAATACTAAACTGTAAACAGAACAGAGCAAAACCCAATGTCTCAGTTTGTCAGGCGTGGGGCTTCTCGCTTCTCTTCCTCCCGGGGGGGCGGGAGCGGCGCTATGGGCGCTGCCCGGGACGGGGCTCCGCTCCGGGCCTCTTCCCGGGCCTCCCGCGAGGCCGCCGCGCGGGCGCCGAGGGGGATCCCGAGGGAACGGTTCCCGTTCACGCCACGCTGCTGCCGCGGCTGCGCTGGGCTCCTCGCGCGGAGCCCCCGCTGCTCCCGCGCTGCGGAGCTCGCCGGGCGCCGCTGCAGCCCCCGCGCCAAGGACCCCCAGCCCCAGCACCGGCCCCGCGGGCGCAGCCGCCCCCCGAGCGGCTCCTGGGGCCAAGCCAGGGCAGCCTCTGACAACAAGCACGGGGGAAAGCTCCCTCCGCACGGCCGGGCAGCTGCTGACGCGAGGCTGCTGCTCCGAGCGCACCACAGCTCCGCAGTGGCTCAACACGAGCCCCTTCCCTGCCACGAGCGCCAGGAATGCCACCGTGAGACGCTACCGCCTTCTCCTCGGGTTGCTCGTGGGCCGGGCCGCCCGCTGTGCCCTTCCCGTTGCTCTTCCCGAGACGCCGACACCGCGGAGGCCGGGGCAGGGCGCACTGCGGGCCGCCCGGTCACCAGTAGTGTTTGGAGACGCTCAAGGAAGCGCGGAGGCGCACGCGGCTCGGGGACACGGGCCCTGCGGTGTGCTCTCCACGAGCTCCCCACGGAGCCGCGCGGCACACGGGCCCGGGGGCCAAGCCCGGCGCCTGCCGCTCTCCTCCCTCCCCTCTCCTGCTCTGAGAAACGATCAGCGCTGCCAGGGCAGAAATGAGAACGGCAAAAACATAACTAACGTGAGGATCTTCTCCAGTCGCCCGTGTCTTTCCCAAGGGTAAGTGTGCGCATGCGAGACATGAAGATGTGGACTCTCCCAGAGACACGGGGCCGCCAGCTCGGTCCCCGAGCCCCGCCAGTCTCCACTCTTGCCTCCGTCCGTGCCCCCGGCACGGAGCAGGGATTCCCTCTACGCTTTGGTTCGCCCCGGGCCCCGCGGGGCTCGCTCGCAGCTCGCCCCAGTTCTAGTTTAAAAACTTCCTGCACTTCTTGGCGCCGCAGTTGCAGGGCAGCTTGTTGCTGGCGTCCTCGATGGGGAACTTGTAGTCGTAGGTGAGCTCCTCCCCGCGGTAGATTTTGCGCATGGCGAAGATGACGATGTGCTTCTGCCCGTCGATGTTGATGACCCGCGAGTAGCAGTTGGGCTCGCACGAGTGGTTGATGAAGCGGGCTGCGTTCCCGTGCATGGTGGCATCCACCACCTCGGAGTCGTCAATGCGGAACATGTAGCAGCCGATTCCCTGTGTGCGGGCGACAGAAACGCAGCCACGTGAGACCCGGCTGGGCCCCGCGCGCGCGGCCTAGGGCTGCGGCAGGCGAGCAGGGCCGCGGCGTGGGGCCGCACGTTGGCGTCACGGGGCTCGGCAGCCTCCTCGGCCACCTCGGAGCTTCGCTGCACCCACCGGTGCCACGAGCTCACACGTGCCGGGCTCATCGGCAAGACACGGCACACAGCAGGGGTTAATGTGCAAAGGCCTCTCTGTCCCTTGAGACTCCAGGGATCACCTGCCTCTTTGGTACCCTCGAGATGCAAGTGATGCTCAATTCCAGGACTCAACAGCTCTGCACACGTTTTTGCCAGCACTACCCAGATCCGGTCACCCCACAGTCCCCTCTGCGACTGGGGCCTCTCCCTGCTGCATCCCCTGCTGCTTCCTTGCGGGACCAAAGGGAGGAAAGGGGTTCTTAGGCTTCCGAAGAGCTCCTAGGAAAGCTGGGAGCTCACCTTGCTGTCGTAGTACTTCTCCCGTTTGTCAGTGAGGATGGAGCGAATGACGTTGCCCGAATATTCAATCACCATCTCGCCCGCATCGATGTTCCTTTTGCAGAAGAGACCCCGGCCGTGGATGGGAGACCTAGAGAGGCAGCAAGGGAAGAGAAGTCCTCAAACAGTACAAGCGAATCTTGGCAATTTCAGGTTACAAACTGCACTGAGCACACCCAATTTCACTACAGGGACTAGCGCAACTTCACTACACTTCCATATCACAGCGCTAATGCCAACAAGACTCTCTCTGTGCTGAGAACTGGCTTTCGAGCACGCAGACGAGAGCAGAGCCGAGAAGCAGCAGAGGGGGCGAGAGGCTTGGCCCTTGTCCCGCGCTCAGCGCGGCAGGGATGCCCACGGGCGGCTCCCAGCTCGTGCCCTGGAGGCAGGGCGCCCGAGTGGAAGCAGCGGAGCAGAACCCTACCTGTACACACCGACCGCCTCCTTGGAGGTCTTCTTCAAGTGCCGGAATCGCATGGGCATGGGCAGGTCCATGCTCGTGGCTCTCCTAGAACCAAGAGATGCTAGTGAGCCAGCGCCGCTATTTGGGAGCCCGGACACCTATAGCTGGGATATCTTCCAATATGAGTGCCACCTTCAGGCACTGTGACGCTGCTGCCATATGCCCACGGAGAACACAGCCCAGCTCCTCTTGGTGCAGTGACTTTTTTTTTTTTAAAAAAAAACACATGTACAGCTGTTTCCAGACCTCCTGTCTGAGACAAAGTCCTGCCTGCCAACCAGCGCCCCTTCCTCTAGATTCCTGATCGGTCACTTTCCCCAGTTCTGATCATAACGTCTTACAGGAGCAGCTGGGGATGGCTGGGAAGTCAAAAAACAACTGGTCCGACAGCTCACTTTCAGTTGTCGCTAGGCTCCTTGCTACGGTGGGGTCTACCCTCTATTTCCTACTGCTTGGTATCTGCCCGGCATGCAGCAGAGAGCTAACGCTATGAAATCAGACTTCTTCAGCCCCACGTACTTTCTGCCTTCTGAACTCTTAAAACCTGCTGCGCACCTGGCTGATTTCAGTTGTACCTCCTCCTCTTCCTCGTCGTTTGGGTTATATTCTGGCGGCTGTCGGTGTTTAGAAGCTAAGAAGTTAAACATATCGAATGCAGACTTCCTGTAGTTCAAAAAAGAGCACATTAAGTTTGTTTCAGGGCCTGGAAATAACCGGTGCCAACCGCCACTCTCGTTGCGTTACAGCTTTTCCAGTGCGTCCTCTCCCAAAGCCCAGCATGTGCCTGGTGATACACAGTCATTTCCGAGAACTGCCAGTGAAACCACCAACTGGGAAAGCTCTGTGAAGGCCAGCAGGCAACGACAGAGGCACAGCACGACATGCAGATTCTGCAGGGGCAATATCAGTGCTTGACACAGGAAAATTAGGGGCAGGTATCTTTCACAAACAACACGAGGTCCGTAAGGCCTTGTTCTTTCTGCCCTGCCATCGACCGCATCAAGCGAGCGGGCTGCTAAAGCTAACACAGGCAGAGCTCACACTTGCCTCAGGTGGACTTCAGCCCTTGCAGAGCCGTGGGGATTCAGAGGGGGTTCGTTGGCCTCCTCTGGCTTATGAAACCGGAACTTGTAGTTGTGGCAGTGCTTTGCTCCGTAAAGTTGCTCAACCAGAAACACGACAGTGTCGTGGATAATGCCCAGCATCCTCAAACCGTTCACACCTGGAACAAGAAACGGGTCACAGCAATAACACAGCAACACGCAACGGGCTAGACAGGGACCAGAAGGATTCAGCAGCCTGTTAAACCCAGCTCCCGTGCTCGCCTGCGCCTCGCACATCTTGCAGCTGCATTAGCTAACGAGCTCCACGTTAGGATTTTAAACCACTGCATCGGGAGGAAGGAGCCTCCATGCATCAGTGAGCAAGTGAACGGAAGCTCCCGGCCAGCGAAGCCTCCGCAAGGCGTCTCGCTTGCGGGCGCGTTTGCCCTTGGTGCTGGGCATTACCTGCGAAAGAGAGCTGCTTCAGGCGAGCGTTGGAACGGGCCTCCTGCACCTTGTCAGTCAGGGACTTCCAGGCATCTGGAGTTACACAAAGAGAGCACAAAGATGAACCAAGGAGCATGCGAGCCTTCAGTGCTGAGGATTCACAAAGCACGTGCTTCTTGCTAAGTTGCTCTTCTCACCGCATCTTTTCAGGCTTCTAGAGAAGCAACCTACAATCACTAGACTGTTAGGTGCACGTGTGGCACGTGACTTTGCAATGAAATAGGGTGTTTAGACAGCGTGAAGTCTCCATCCCTTTTGAGGCCTAGAAAGTAAAACCTTCGGATCAAACGTGTGTGAGTGTGTGTGTGTGTGTGTGTGTGTACACATATGCTAGATGTTTATGTCTGTGTAATCCAAAGGTATTGTTTTAATTTACACGTGTGTGCCTGCATGCATGCACACATGTACATAGATCTCTGCAGATAAATATGGACATATATAAATATATACGCATGCACTAACACGTATGTGAAATACAACCTGCACCCTGTGAGCAACTAGAATCGTTATAGAGCTGTGTGTCAAGAGAATAATAAAAAAAATCTGCTCTGAAGCTATATAAAAACAGGCCACAAACCCTCAAAAGTTGTTACTTGACTTGTGGCAAGGAAAGCCAAAGCCAAGGCCAGCAAAAACGCAGGGTTCTCACCTTCAATACTTTCTGCACAAATCTGAAAGCCGTCATCACTCGAGATCTCAAAAACCAAACCTTTCTTTGGTTTCTTCTCACCAAGACACTCCTTCCTCCTTTGTTCTTGCTGAAGCCAAAACATAAGAGGGGAGCTGAAAGTGCTCTCCTCTTCCTCGGGAGCTTTTGAGCCTGGAAACAGAAAGAAGCCAGCATGAAGATCCTTGGGAGAACAAAGTTTTTCCAAGGGTTGCTCCACTTGCCTTTTCACTGGTATGTGACCCTTTCTAAGACGACACTACCAAGCTCAAATTTTAATTTCACGACCGTTTGAGAATTCTACACTGCTTTAGAAGATCTACCCCAACACCCTGCTTCTTCACAGTGCAACAGCAGGGATCCATGGCCTCCGTACAGCAGTGCTTATGAAAGAGCCCTCCACATTCACAAAAAGTATTCTCATACGCATTCACCAACACTCACTTCCTCATGGAAAGGAGAAACTCGTTAACATCAAAGCTGCACAGCACATTAGCTTCTGACCTGCACCTATAACTTAGAGAACAAAGTCTCTGCAGATGCACCTATATCTCCAAAATGCACAAATGGCAATTTGCAATAATGAAGAAGAGCAGGATTAGCACTATTTACAAGTGAGAAGCAGCCACGCCACCCTAATTGTACACAAGTGCCACTGCGTGGTGAAGAATGTGTATGCACCTTCCAATTTGATTTGAGATGCCTAACAAGTACCCTGGAGTTCTCGCAAGCAGTTTTAGCAGTAATATGTACTTTGTGTGGAAATTTCCACAGCCTAAAAATTGACGCAACCCTGGGTGCAACTTGCATTAATAGTGAACAACACATCCCTCCCTTCAAAGCAAGGGCAACAAAATAGATTATGAGCTCTGAGACTTTCTCCGAGAGCACAAGACAAGAGAAAAAATAAAAATTAGAAAAAAACAGAGCTCCGATGTGTTCTTCACATCTCAGTGCGAGAGCCCCAAGACTCGGTGCTTTCCGGAGCGTGACGTACCTGCATTTTCCTGCTCATTTGCCAAGCTTTGTGCTGATTGAGACTCCGGGAGGACAGCCATGTGCCTTTGGAGGGAAAGAAAATGAAGACAAATATTTAACAACTTGCCTCATTCCCAGTTTTCTATGACTAAGCCGGATGCAGGCACGCATTTCTCTTTCCTTAATGATAAGAATGCCAAACAGATTTGGAAAGTTTCAAATTTAACTTCTAATATAGCATTGCACACATCTATTCTCCTAAGAGCTGTCTGGAGTGTGATTTCAGCGGGTGCCAAAGAACTGCACTGCAGAGTTGCAGAGTGAACAACTTTGCTCTCTCGGAAGTCTATTCTGTGCAAGCTAAGCCGTAGCTTCTCTGTCCACAGCATCACAGTAAAACCTGTAAATATATTACCTGTAAATGTACAGGAAGGCCTTATTTGCTAAGAAAGTTTGCAAACAAAAAGAATTCTAGTCACTGGCACTTTTTTTTTTTTTTTTTTTTTTTTTTTGGCGGCAACCATGAGGCAGTGGTTTATTGTATCTTAGTCTGTGACCTGCTCTTTGCAAAGTCCTACTCAGTACTAAAACATACACTAACATATCAAGAGCCAAAACCATGTGACTATTGTGTTTTGTTCCCAGCACACAAACTCTTCCCCCCTATCAGCATCATATCTCAGTTTAAAAAGGCTCTAGACTGCAACTAAACAGGACAGCTCATTCTGGAGCGAAAGCTCCCAGGAGGTTTTCCACGAGCCGAGCAAGGCTCGTCCCACCCGGCCCGTACTTCTCGAGGTAGGGAGCTCCATTCGGCACAAAGTGCCAGGGACGGTGCCCAACGCTTACCCTGCCGACTGCCCACGCTGCGGCTGTGGTGGCTGCTCCGCGCCTGCCGCCTCCTGGGCATCCGCCTTGGTAGCAGCGGCCCTAGAACAGAAAGAGATTTAGCAGCAGGCAAGGCTTGTGCCGAGCAATCCGTGCCATACACGACACCGGTAAACGACGGGTGCATGGGGAGACGCCGCCAGCAACTCAAGCGTGAGCTATGGAAATAATCACCAACGTTCTTAGGACAAGGGAAAGAGGATCAAGCCTCAGTGTTAGATCTGATTCAGGGCAGTGAAGTTGCAGGGAAAGGAGTAGCACAAAGCCGGGGAAGAGACCCATCTTGGAGCCCCCACTAGCAGAGAGCTTGGGGTCAAAAGATGCATGGTGCTGTGCTGACAGCTGTAAGAAAGCACGTACAGAGCAGGACAGACAGGCGTGGATCAGCAACACAAAAGAACTATTAAAAACGCTAAGCTAGACAAAGAGTTTGGGAACAGCTACTTAAAAAAAAAATTGCACTTATTGCAAGACAGTAAGATGACAAAGGAGGAATGATAAAGATGATATGGAACCAAACAATCGTTACCACTAACATGTTGTATGTTCCCCAAGGATGGACAATATTATCTTTTTAGTGCCCGCAACCATGCTGGAGAGTTCTGTGGCAGAGGTAGGACTGAACCTCAGAGCTGCAACGCCTTTGCTGAAGCGCACGCTCGTTAGCGGCGCGACAGCAGCGACAGCTTGGCATGTTAACAAAACTGTCGTCTGGGCGTGCGAAATGCAGACCAACAGCTCCTCCTCTGCCTCAAGTGAAGTGCCATTTCCACCTCAGACTGCAAAAGAATCCCTTCCCGCGAGAGGAGCGCGCCTGGGCTGCCACGAACACTCGCGCAAGGCTCTCCCGTGCTTACAAAAGCGCAGCGGGGACGAGCAAAGCCAGCCCTTCTCTTACCCTGCAGCGGGGAGCTGGGAAGCAGCCGGGGCCCCCCGGTCAGGAGCGGGCGCCTCGCAGGCAGCGCTCCACAGGTGTGAAGCCTTGTGCTTCTTCCCGTTGCCCTTGTCCGCGGAGGGCGGCACGCGCTTCACTTTGGGCTTGGCTTTGGCGGGCGCGAGCGCGGAGCTGCTCGCGGACTGCTGGCCCGAGGACGGGGAGCCCGCGGGCGACGCGGAGCTGCCGTGCAGCACGGAGGAGGCCGCCTTGCCCTGCTCGAGGCCCGCGGCGCCGGGCACGTCCACGAGCGGCGGGAAGCTCGGGAGCTGCGCGGCCGGGGCGGCGCCGAGCTCGAGCGGCGAGGAGGCGACGCCGCCCTTGCCGCCCAAGAGCTGTGTCATGTGCTGAAGCTGGTACGAGCCCTCCGCGTCGGCAGAGCTCTGCGCCACCGCCATGCCCATGCCCTGTGCCGAGGGCAGGACGCAGATGCTGGAGGCGGCCGTCATCGCCGCCGTCGAGGGCGTTTGCGACGTGCCCAGCTGCGGGAACATCCCCGAGGCCGGCGGCAGAGCCATGTGCTGCTCCGGCAGGCCGAGGCTCTGCTGGCTGGCCTTGATCAAGAGGTTGCTGATGGAGCCGAGGTCCCCCAGCAGGCCCGGGCTGGTCAACGTCACGGAGCTCTGCCCCAGCACGTGCCCGGGCACGGAGCCGCCGCTCGTGGGGGCGGCCGTGGCCTGCATGGACACCACGTTGAGGACCGAGGAGCCGGAGGCCAGTCCCGAAGCGGGTCCCGCGGGGAGGTGGCCCGCGTCGGGCCCCACGACACCGGCCGCCGGCCCGCCCTGCGGCAGCAGAGACGTCTGCTCGAAGTACATGACGCCGGACTTGGACCTTTTGATGATGTTGGGGACGGTGCGATGCGACGTGGAATTGGCGATGCTTCCCAAATCCAGGGGGTGGTTGGAAATTTGGGAAGGGGCGAAATTAATTAAAGTCATGTTGGAGACCATGTCGGGAGGCGCTATCGCAGAAGGGGTTCCGGAGGGAGCCAGCTTCTTGTTCTTCCGCGACTGCAGGCGGGATATTGGCCGCTTCTTGGCGAGCGGCGCGCTGGCCGCAGGAGCGGCGGCGCCCAGCTCTGCCCTCTGGCCGCCTTCGGACACGAGCAGCTGCGGATCGGCGGGGGGCTGCACGCCGATAAGGAGGCCGGGCGAGGGGCTGCCCATGCTGGGCGGGAAGGCGCTCTGCGAGGTGCCGGGGAAGGGATGCAGGTGCTGGTGATGGGCCATGGGCAGCAAGCCTTTGCTCGCGGGAGGGAAGAGCGACTGAGACGAGGGCAAGCTCGGATTGAGGCCCGCGGTGAGCGTAAGGCCGCTGCCCATGGGCCCCAGCACGGAGGCGCCGCTCTCCATGACGCTCTGCGCGGAGCTCACGGAAGGCGTCAGCTGTATCTTCTGAGTGACGCCGTTGGGGAGCGTCTGCAGCACGTAGAGCGGCTGCATGTTCTGATTGACCACCAGGAGCTTCTCGGCGGCCGGCTTGAGATGCGGCGGCGTGGTCTGCACCGCGGCGTTAGAAATCTGAGAGGGCCCGGGGCTCTCGCTGGAATTCGCCACGTACTTCTGGCTCGGCAGGGGCACGGTGGGCGACACGGGCACCTGGAGGGCCGGTGTGCCGCTGCTCCGCGTCAGATCCTGGTTGCTGCCGTGGCCCTGCTCGACGGGGCCGCACGCGGGGCTGCCTATGTGCTCGGCGTCCATGTGGCCTTGGATGAAGTGATCCGGAGTCATGTGGCCCTCGGGGCTGGGGTCCACTCTGGGACTTAGGAGCGCCGCATCCCCGTCGGCGGAGGCGGCCTTCTCCGTGACCGTAACCCTCTTCTCCGCGGGCTCCGTGGAAGGCAAGGCGAGCAGCGACCTCTCCCCCGAGGAGGAGAGCGAAGCCTCAGAAATGACGGCGAGCCTGCTGTGATTCTGGCTAGGCACCGTGGGGCTGCGCGTGGTCAGCACCGAGAGATCCGAAGGCAGCTCCAAGGGCAGCTCGAACTGCTCCTCCGCCGAGATGGAGGAGGAGACGCTGCTGTCCACCGGTTCGGTCGTGGGCAGCTGCTGCGAGAACACCTCAAACAAGCCCATGTCCTTGCCGCGGTTGCTGTCAAGACCTAGGCCTTCCCCGAGCGTCAGGAGCTCCGAGGAAGACGACTCCGGACTTTCTCCTAAGGCCTGCATGGAGGGCGTATTCTTGAGCACAAAGTCCATGATGTCCGAAGGGAGGATATTCCCGCAGTCGTCGCTGTTGTTGTTGTCCGAGTCGGACTTCAGCAGCTCCGTGTTGAACGTGTCCAGTAGGTTCTTCTCGGAGGGCGTGCTGGCATGGGCCCTGCGGCCCGCGTCCAGCGAGCTCAGCTGGGCTTCCAGCGAGTCCTGGCCCTGCGCTTTCACCCTGCTCACGGGATGGCAGTTGTCGATCTTGGGGTCCGCCTTGTGCACAGCGGCGCTCTTGGTCACCTGCACTTTCTCTGCGGCCTCTTCCGTTCGATCTAGCTTCAAGTTCTCCGTCCCATTTTCTTTGCCGCTCCTTTTACTCACTTGGTTCACTTTTCTGCTCGTTGCCGTGACACTGGTATCGCTTTCAGTCCCATCGTCGACCCCGTCTAGCTGGGAGATTTTGGGCAGGTCGCACTGCTCTTCTTCCCTGAACAAGTTGTGGGGTGCAAGCCTCTCCTCTGAGGTCGAGGAAACCACCGTCCTAGTGAAGTTGTAGTAGTACAAGTCATCCTCATCCGAGGTGCTCAAGTCGTCGGCACCATCCACCTGCCCTTCGGCAGAGCGCTTCCCTCGCTTCTTCCCGGTGGAGTTGCTGTAGAACGGGATGTCCTCCTCGCCGTAAGACCTCACGCCGTACAGAGGAGTCAGGCCAAAGAACATGTTGGACCTGGCCCGGGCGCTTCGCCGCGGGTACCTCCGCTTGTAGGAGCCTTCCTCGGGAGCCTTGGCCCCGTCCTGCAGCAGTAAGCTGTTGTCTTGGACAGGTAAGTTCTCATACGTGTTGGTTTGGGATTCCTGCGCCGGGGTGTCGCTGGGACTCCCCTCCACTGCAGGGCCTCCTTCTGGGTTCTCCGAGGCCGAGGAGGGCTCCGTCAGAGGGGCCGTTTCTGCCCCTGCAGGCTGAGGTTCGGCATCGCCTTCCTGTTGCGCATTCTTGGACTGGCTCTCACTCTCCATCTTGAGAGGCGTCAGGGTGACTTTAACAGTGCGCTTCCTGGGCGCCGGCGGCTCCTTCGAGGCCGCCTCGGCCTGTGGCACGGCACCTTTCGAGGAGCCTTGCGCCGGCGGGGACTTCTCCCCTGCTTTCTCTGCAGCAACGCTGTTACACAGCCTCTGAGCGACCTGCTCAGGCGCGAGAGCCGGGCTGCCAAATTCCGCCTTCGAGTTCCCTTCATCGCTGCCTACTGCTTGACCGGAATCCGTAAGGGACTTCAAGGAATGTTTCTCTTTAAAACTGGCGTCTTTCATTAACTTTTTCCCCTTCTGCCGCCTGTCGCGGGAGGTGGGAAGGGCCTGCTCGCTCCCTGCCGGAGATCTGCTGTTCGCCCCTGCAGACTTGAGGCTCTTGGCTTCCAGCTCCTCAGCCAAAGCCGTTTTCTCCAGTTGCGCAGGCTCCGCGTGCTGGTCTCTCTCCTTCCTTGGGCCCCTCTGGTGCAAAGACGCAAAGGGCACTGCTTCTTTGGAAGGAAAAGAGCCTGAAGATTCTTGAAAGGTTCCTATTTTAACGCTCAGTTCTGTGCTTGCCGAGCTGTGTGCTTGGGCGGACGCTTTGGAACTTCCTCCCGAAGAAAAACCATGAGCTGAACCATCTGGGTCTTTAGAGGGCAGCATTTTCATCTTCTCTGCCCTGCCCGGCGTTCCTTTGGCCGTGGGATCGGAAGCACTAGGCTGCTTTGCTTCTGGGCACTGAGGTGCATCCAGCTGGTAAGTTTTACTTCCACCTGTAGCCGGTGCCTTCTGGGAGCTCGCGCCGCTGCTAGCGCAGCTTTGAAGCGGAGCACTTGGGGCGCCCGAACTCACCGATCCCACAAAGCGCTCAGGGCCCTTGACGCTCAGTTCGTGTTCTGAGGAGGACCCCGTGCCTGCAACTGAAGACACGCTGTGTTTGGAATAAGTGGTGCCAGCCCTTGGGGGTGAAATCATCCGGAGTTTGGACTGCTGCTGTGACAAAGAAGAGGTGCTGTGTCTCCGAGAACCGATGCTCCTCAGCCCAGAGGACAGCAAGGGGTCTCCTACTGTCACTATTTCATGGGTCACGGGGGTAGGACTCCCTGAGGAGAAATAAGGCAAGAAAGACCGTCAAGGGATCCCAATCATTCACAATCCACACATACATAAATATATCCATATGTAATTCCTTTACAAACACAAGCAATTAGAACAACTTTTGCAAAAGTTTGCAACAGAACAGGACTTCTGCAGAAGGAGTAGGTGACTCAAACTACTGCACTTGTGATTCTCTCTAGGAAGACACAAACTTGGAGAACTGACTGCCAACTTTTGGCACTTTTCTTCCACATTATGGCTAAAACTGTGCCCAAGTCTTCCTTTCCTTGCCATTCCAGGTTCGTTTCTGTTTCCATTGTGCATCTCCTCACAGGGGCATTTTCTGCTCTCGATTCCCCTAAGCGTTGTTCCCATCTATCTACTGCCATTTTCAGAGTTTTCTCTACGCAGAGAAAACTAATCCTCACATGGAGGACGAAGCCTCCAAAGAAAGCAAAAAAAAGGCAAAGTCCTCTAAAGTTTAATAGAAATTGAAGTCAGCAGCACTTGCAATACCTGCAGAAGGCAAAGGCCTAGAACCGGGAGACCTCTGTGCCGACGGGTAGCTTGGCGTCCTGATCCTGGGAGCCTTTGGGACTAGTGGACAGTAGCTGGAACCAGGCGTCTGAGAATGCATGGGACGGTCCGGGGACGGCGGGCTCACAATTTCACCTGTATTTCTGCTGTCTTTGGACAGAGTTTCTGTAACAGCACAAAAGAGAAACCACAGCCTCAGCCATTGCCCAATGTCAGAGGCTTCGATCTGCTGAAGTGCATCTCCTTAGGACATTCCACTCGGGGAAATTAACGTAGCTGTTTAGTGTAGGAATTATAACAAGCTGCGTGGCAGCTTCCTTACTCATTGTACTTTGCCTTGAGACAGTGACAACATCGCTGAGTTCCACACACACCTGCAAGGCTAACAAAACCAAACGAGTCTCCCCCACCTGGAAACCATCTCGTGTTCTCTCTTTCTCCCAAGCATAAATATCACCAAAGACATGCAAGGAAGATACCGTTAGGAAGAGCTTAACTCTTACCTGCCAGAGGTGCTGGACTATGAGCAATTGTTCTGTTATCGTCATGTTCCACAGTGCTGTTGATATCGGGCTCTATGACAGGGGGTCGGCATTCCATGATCTTGCAGGTATACACGCAGCGTTTCCGGGCATCCGTGGTGCTCCAGTACACCCTCGAGCACCTGCGAGGCAGTTCACACAGAGCAATGGAGCCAACAGCTGAGCAGACCTCAGCATCCTTATCTTCAATGTGCCATTCCCAAACGGAGAAGCCATGAACACTGATGACAACACAACATGCTGCACACCTAGCCTAAGCACATCTAGCTTCTGGAGCAGCTCCTGAAGGCTGCAGTCAGTCTGCACGGAGGCTACTCCGGTGCACGTGTGCCATCGGGATCGTGGAAAAGCTCATACTCACTGATAGCCGATGGGAAACAGCTTATCCTCGCAGTCCGAGAGGTCATTCAGAATTCCCAAGCAGTCTATAGTCATCGAACCTGAGCAGAAAGGGGCACAGGAAACGTTCCGTGAGCAGCACAAACCTGACACCAGGAAAGCCCGAGCAAGGGCTCAGAGACTAGATCTTACCAATCATCATATGGATGTTCTCCGGTTCCAGGCCGCTAAGAAACTTCCTCCTCAGACTGATCCCTTCAAAGTCCACAAAAACTCTCCTAAGGACTTCAAACCCATTCTCAGGAACCACCTGGAGCAAGAACCACAAAACACCTCATTAATTTTAAAGGAACCATTAGGCAAGGCTTCCTTCCTACATGCGAGGTATGCAGTCTGCTTTACTGCATCCTCGGATGGGTCTGTATCGTGGTACTGCGTGGCACGTTGAAAGCACGAGTCACACTCTCTTGCTGGAGCTGTATCAGCAAGTCCTCCTCAGCAGCATGGCAGCCAGGCCCTCACTTGTGAGGAACACGTTCAACATTGGCTTTTAAAGAACGTTTATAGTCATAGCTATCCTAGCCCTCAGGCAAAGCAGCGTAGAAAGGAAGACTCTCACCTCTCCTTTGATCAAGTCCCGGTGCCGCTGGCAGTAAACTTTCTTATCATCCAGAAAGACACAGTTCTTGGCTCGTGAGCACATAAAGTGGTAGTTGCTGGTACAGGAAGTGAGGCAGCAGCCTACTGTGGCACCTGACTTCTGGCAGAACTCGCATCTCTACGGAAGGAAAAGGAAAAGCTTAGAAGTGATTCCCACCGTTCTCCTTCAGTGTCACACTGAGCAAGTAGGAAACAAAATTCCAAGCAGCTTCAGCCACTTTTCCCAAAGAAAAGGAACCCAGGAGGAATGTTTTAGATGGTTTCCAGTCTCTGTTTTGGGCAAGGCAGGTTAACAAAGCGTTGTTTGCTTATACCCACCAGCTGCTTTCCCCTGATCACAGCCATATGCACGTTCTTCAGTGAACCATCATCATCCTCAAACACTTCTGCCGACCATAAAGCACAGTTCACATGGGTCCATTCGTTTTGACCAATGTAGAGAAGACGCCCAGCATCCTGAAGAACACAAGGAAATGCTATGTTCCAATGTTCTGTAGACACGACAGCGCACAAAGAGCCCGGAGTGTTTCGGCTGCACTGCATTCGACCTCACTCCCAAAAGAGAATCACTGGCTCACAAAGGAATGCCCAACAAGTGTAATTTCACAGTTTAAAGGGCGAAGCTAAATTCAGCAGAGAAGACAGCGACTAGGTGCACAGAACACCAGAGGCCGGGTACTTACGTTAGCGCTATCATCGCCATACTTGAGGCACAGTGCACACTGCCTGTTGTCCTCCACATCTGGGGGCGGGTTCAGCTCAGGACTATCCTCCCTGCTTCTGTCGGAACCTTACAGTCAAAAGAGAGAATGCTGCTTATTCCTGAAGGTCACGGAGGCAGAGATTTATCTAGAAAAGCTGCAGTCCAAAATTTATGCGGAAAAGCTGCAGCCGGTAAGCAAAAGCAGAAGGGCCAAACAGCACCCTCGAGTCTCAATAAGGAGCTTGTAAAGCAAGGAAAGGGAGGCAGCAACCTCTGCACAGCCCTGGTTCGAGGCAAGAGAGGCCCATGAAAATGTATCCGTAGGCCCAAGCTCAGCCCGGTGAACCCAGCCTGGTGAACCCAGAATCCTCCCTCCCGGGCCGATCTGGCCTCTGTAACAACTCCTTCCTCTATGGCTACCGCTCCTTTGCCATGTCCAGAAGTTTCCTTTCTTTTTGTTTGTTTTAGTCCTTTTTTTGTATGTACGCTTGCAAATACTGCCTAGACCCACAGCCATGCATATTTATACTTCCTCCTCCTTTAAATCTGTGTCACACGCTGTCCCTTCATGCCTGCTGCTGTCTCCAGCAACTCCCCGTCTTTCTTCTATAGCCTCCTCACACGGCTCTGTGTGGCACTCTGCACGTGTTGTATGTTGCAGAACTCCCCTACCGCCCCAAAACCCAGCTAGGGCAAAACTGGCCAGGTCACTGCCTAGCGTGCTCTGAATGAGCAGCACCACACATGTAACAGGCTGAACGGAACAGGCGGAGGTGCCTCCTTCTTCACCAGGAGACAGAAGCAGCACAGCCCTTCCCGCGCTGCTGCAACGCTTGGAACGAAGCACGCTGGCTATCACTGCTGCAATCTGAGTTCTTACTAGAGATCGGTGGCGTAGGAGGATGCAGAGGAGTTGGCGACTCTGGCTCTCCAGGCCCTTTGGGTTTGGGAGCTGGAATGATTTTCTTCATCAGAGGGGGCTGCTCAGTGCGGTTGCTCTCTTCGCGCTCCTGCCACTGAGCATAGTTATGGTCAAGCGAAGGGGGCAGCACCGCATTCGGCAACATCCCGCTGCTGGAAAGGCAACAAGGAGGCAGCCGTCAGACGCGGCCACTCCAGGGGCCCCGCGCGCAGCCTGCGGCGCCCGGCTTTGCGCTCTGCTTCGGAGCGACGCGGGGGGCGCCGGCAAGGGCAGCGCTACCGCCCCGCTCCCAAACACCCGCTCTGACCGCTGGCACGCCGCAGTAGGGCACGGGCACGCACAGGACCATTACTTACTTGCTGGTTACTTTATTCGGCTCCCAAAATCTGGATTTTTTAACACTGAACCACGGGAAAACACGCTCCATTTGCTGAAGAGAAACAACACTCAGTTAGAAATGTTATGCAACGTACCTAAACGTCCAATGATTGTCAGCCAAGATTCACTGCAAATGTACAGCTAGTGAGATTTCATGAAGAGCTCTGACGAGGTATTATTACGAATCTTGGAAATACCCAAGCAACGAGAGGAGCGATGGACCTTTTGGATTCCAAGAGCAACACAAACAGTGATATGATAGAAAGCACATTTCAAAGTAACTGCTGTCCTGCTCACCCGAATAAAGAAGGACTTGACCATGCTATTGGCTTTTTTAACTTCTGGCTGCCCTCCATCCGAATTAATGGCTGCTTGAATTATCTTCACAATATCATCACTAAATTCCAACTATAAAAAAGCCACAAAATTTCGTATCAGCAGGATTGTCTCTTGCACAGCTACCCCATCCCCTATTTGTGAAGGCATCAAACAAACTTCTTGATGACCACAACACCGGCGTATGCAGAAAACCAATTTGGCAGTAGAAAAGCAAGGCTGTTTGGGGTATTTGCAAACTGACTCGCAAAACCGCTGAACACATGAAACCATAATTGCTCGCTTCTTCCTGAAATCAGGATGTGACCGCTGACTCCTGCTTTAAACCGGCTAAGCTACCTGTCATGTTTGGCCCTAGCCTGGCAAGAGCGTGTTAGCAATGGCACGCTGGAACACGCACTTGTCCTTCAGGTCACTGGCTTTGGGGTGACAGCAGGACACAACCGGTCCCCACAACAAAACCCGACACGCTTCTTACTAGCAGTTTATGCAAATCGCTCCTAAAGGGATTAAGTCTCCAAAGGTGAATTATTAGTTTCCAGATAATGGACCCTCATCTCTGTCATTTGCCTTGGCTTTCTGGCAGACACCGCGTATAAGACACGACCGAGACCCTGCTTTCCTGTGCACAAAGGAGCAGAGGTGCTTTAACCAGGTATGGCTGCTGGTTAAAGTTGCTCCTGCAGCAGAGTAACGTACGTGTCTTTGGCAATATCAACACGAGTGCCAGGCAGAATTGTTTCTAGCACCCCATTAACTCGCTTCCTTGTTCATAACGAGAAAGCTTCAGCAGGCTCCGTTACAAATATCCCAGGCCGTAAAGCAGTTCGCAGGATCTACTGTAATCTGCATGAAACTGTAAACTCTGGCATACCACAGAGGTGTAACCGCCTTGATCCATTTTTCTTTTCACTCCTTCCAGATCCAGAGGTTGCTGCTCCTCCTGTTTGCTGACTTCTGTCAGGACAGGAGGGTCAGGGCCTTCCGGAGAGCTTCTGGATGGGATACTCTCCTCTGTCTCCGGATTTAAATCGGGTGGCTTGGCTGCCTGCAAACGACAACAAACCAACAGGCACTGCTTACTTCGTACTGAAGCGTGGCTGCTACTCACAACGCATTCTCCTGCACATCTGCTTCCACTTTAACTGTCAATACCGGGAAAGAAGGGTGACTCAAAGCCCCGTGTTTTCCTCTAAAACACATTTATAAAAAGAAAGACATTTATAAAAAGAAAGATATATAAGCGGTTTTTGCTGCAGATCACACAGCGAGGCAGACAGATCAAATTTGAAACTCCTTTTCCAGGGGTCGTACTGCTGAATACTTACCTCAAGCCTAAGATCCTCCTCCTCTTCCCTCAGAGAGGCACTTTCACCCCAACCTGCCTGTTCTTTCAGCTATCCTGTTTTTACTTTGTCCTCAGAAATTATACCACAGATACCTCAGCCTTTTAAGTTTTCTCAAGAAAGAACAAACGGAAGAAAGCAATGAGAACGAGCGCTGTTTTAAGCGCAGCCAAGAACCTCTCCGAAGTACGAGGCACAGGAATAATAACGTTCAACTGAGCGCCCGGCAGTGACACTTCCACTCGGGACAGATTGCGGGGAGCCTTCAGCTTACCTGCCTGTAACGCAGCAAGTGGCTAGTGGTTCGAGAATTCAGCAGGGCTGTTAACACCTGCTTGAGGGAAGCCTGCAGCTCCTTCTCCAGAGCGAGGCGCCACTCCGCGGGGTGCTGCTCCGTACAGTTAATGCAGGTATACGCCACGCTCTCGGGCAAGTTCGACAGGATCTCGTACATTTCATCTGCAGACAAACAGAAACAAAACCAAAGAATGACAGCGTGAAATACTCACTGACAGGCAGACACAGGGAAGCCTCCTATTCTGTGCACTTGCTGTGCAAATCACACGTCTTCCCCGGAACAAAAAACCTCCCCGTGCGACTCGTGCGGATTGTCACCACATTTGAGGCCCGCCCTGAGCGCTCGGGATGTCCCCGACACTAGTGCCACGTGCCTTCTAGCATTTCTGTAGCAGGCAGGTCACTGCAGGCGAGGGCTTTGAAGTGGCACCGAGCTAGACAGCGCCCCAGCGGCCTTGGACTTTGTCTTTACTCTACCTGGTGCCTCGTATTCTTAAGGGCTAAGAACGAAAGAATCTACCCTACCTGAAAGGTTTTCACATTTAGAGTGGACCCAGCGGTCACATTTCCCACACTGCATCATCTTGCTCTCATAGTCATCATCATCATAGCATTTGTCACAGAGAGGACAGAAGTTTCCTGCAAACAAGACACGATTTTTTTTACCATCAGTTCAACTCAGTTATGAATGCAAATCATGAATTATTAGTTTGAAATAAGAAATTACAGTCAGGACTCCTGGAGGACATTCCTTTTTCAGTTGCTACCAATGCCCAGGACCAACAGGTCTCCAATAATGGCTAATGTGTTTTAGAGAGCTGAAATTCTGGAAACCTCAAACTCAGTCAGTAAAACAGCAGCGACTTTGTTAGGTTAGTGTAAAGCCTTAGAATTTAGCTTCCCTACAGGCTTTTGTGACCCACGCCCTGATCCTCAGCGCAATGCTGGGCTGAATATTTCTGTTTAGACCACGGACAAGCCGGTAGGTCCTCATTTCGCTCTCCTCTGAGGCTGCCTCATTAGAATCAGACCCCCTTGGGAGAGCCCTGCTCTAAGTAACTCCCTGTACCTTTAGCGAAGAGTTTGGCACAATCGTGACACAGCGAGAAGTCGTGAGACCACTGTGCATCCCACCCTTTGCCTGGAGTTGTCGATCCACAGCTCTTGCAGCGAACGCATTTGGTACATATCTGCAAAGGGAGATGCATTTGGCAGGAGTTACTTGCTCTTACCCACTGGCTTCCCTTCCTTAGTCCTAGCGATACCTCTCCTGCTCTTTATTATTTTTGGGGAGGCGGGGAACGAAACCAAGAAACTCACCCAAACTTTCTTCTTCTTGGTGGGTTTTGTCGGGTAGTTTGGGCCCAGGCACTCGGGGTGATAGCTGTTTCGGCACTTGTTACACTCCAGCAACTGCTGCAAGACCAATGGAGAAAAACACACCTGAGGAGAACCCCCCAGAGGGATGCACTGTGCCGGGCCCGTTCCCTCCCCGTCGGACTGGGGGCTGCAGGAGGGCACTGCAGCTCGAGGAGACTTCCCCCCGGCAGCGTGAGGAGGAGCTCCGCGCTCCGCTGCTTCCCGCCCGCGCTTCCCGGCAGGAGGAGGCGCCGTGTCCCGCCGGCGGCCGGCTACCTTGGTGGCCTGGTGCTGCCTCCCGCACACGTGGCAGAACTTGCAGCGGCGGCAGCACCAATTCTCCAGTTGGTCCTCCAAGGGCCGCTCGCTCTCCTCCAAGCAGAACTTGTGGAAGGGCTCGCAGCACACCTGGCAATACACAAACTGCAAGACAGGGGAGAGGCGGCTCTTAGCGACTCAAAGCTCTCCTCGAGCGCCGCGCACGCGACTGCTCTCCCGGCTCCCTCGGCGGGCACGGCACGGCTAGCGACTGGCAGTGTTACTAGGGAAAGGGGGCACACGCCTCAGTTGCCAGCCTGAACGTACGTGTGCCTGCCAACGCCAAGCCTCGAGCAGCAAGCCACAGCTCGAACAGCTCGGCCACTTTTAAGGGAGCAGCTTGATTGAGAAGGGAAGGGCTCCGTGTCCAAATGGACCCTCACGCAATGCTGTTCACATGAAAAACTGAAACTTTGTTTTTGTTTTTGTTTTTTTTTTTTCTAATACAGGTGTTATTTTAATTTCCTCTGGAGTAAGGGAATTCTAAGTGGGCGTTTTTTGTTTGGTAACACGGCACATAATTATTCTAAGTCATCGACAGCAGAACACAGTGCTTTACCTCCACATGTCCGCTGCTGGCACAGAGAAAACAGACCACCCTGGGAGTAATAGGTACCGAGGTGACGATGCCTAACCCCCCCATCTCCCAAACATTCTCCACTTCACAGTCCTCCTGAAAGCACAAAAGGATATATCAGCATGCGGAATAGAGAGATGCAGCAGCAGTACAAAGCGCTCACACGGCTCCTTTACGCATTCTCGCCCTGCAATTACGTGCTCTTAAAACCCAAGTTATTCCGACTTCTGCCTCAGTCTGCTTTGTAACGTATGTTAAAATAGTCACTTCTTAGCACTATTCTTGGCAAGTGAGCTCAATAATACGCTACCCTTGGTTCTATAGAGAGCACACTTGAAGAGCAAGACAACGTTTTCCACGAGTGCAGAATTACTTCTAAAAAGGAACTGTCAGAATAAGTAGCCTTTATTAAAACTCGGAACTTGTAAAAGCACTTTGGAGATCTCACTATAGCCTCCAGTATTAAAACTTAGAGAGGGACTGAAAAATTCAAATAGCAAAATATAAATGTTTATTATTTCAACAGCTCTTGCTCAGAAAAGTACAGGATTTTATCAGCTTAAACACCCCAAATGTACCCCAAACATTGTGAATTACAAATTACTAACATTTTCCCCAAATCTTGTTGACTCAAGTGGTGGTAAGGTTTTATAGTTCCCTCTTAATGGAATAATTCTTCATAAACCTCAAACTCTTGCTCATCCTCACTTTGACAGTTAGGGTTTTAAAGGCTTTAAGTGACTCTTCATCCAGTACTCTAATCGCAAGGAAAAAAAAGGCATAACAAACTTCTAGAAATCAACCACACTGATGACTTGTCGTGAAGGTCCCTGCTTACAGTTCTCTCTGAACGGCACCAGGCACGCAACCTCAGAGATCACTCTCAGCACTCTTGAGGGAGGCTGCAGCGCTCAGGGTCAGTTAATAGGGAAACACTTAAAGCATTTGGTCCTCTACCTTGAAATCCACCCGGATTCTATGGACTCCATCTGTAGGCGGCTTCTGCTTGGAACTGCTTCCATTCGTCAGAGTACTGAGCAAGTTCAGCGTGCTGCTTTCCGGTTTGCTGAGAGGAGGGGGCTTTTCCTAGGCAAGCAAGAAGGAGCCCCCATTAATCCCAATTCCGGGCACTGCTTTTAAACAATAAGCTGCCTGAAATACTTCAGGTAACTCACATACAAAAAAGCCCACCACCACCAAAAAAAATCTTGAAACCAGCCCAGAGTTCAGGAGTTTTGAGCACAGAGAATTACCAAAGGGTCATTAAGGACTATACACTTCTACCTAGATAGCTGCGACTCCCACAAGTTTCAGCTACTTGAAATTTGCTGACTGCAGAGGAACACAACACAAAATATTCAGTAGTCACCTTTTCTTTCGGTTTCTGTTTCACAGGGAAAGTTGGACGAGGAGCGATTTTCTTCTGTTTGCTTTGTTCTGTTCCTAGGGAGAGGGCAAGGAATGAGCATTTCAAGTAACCAGCAACGGCTTGCAGAGAGAAAAAGTAATAACCAGATGTTGCAGAGCGACATGCATGTTAGGCTGGAATTGCCCTGTCCCCTTTCGTGACTCCACATCACCAGCTATGACCTGAACTTCTCCTCAAGACACAACCTAGGGACTGACTCTGCTAAAAATGCCAAACGCTTCAGGAGCCGAGACACCAAACTGCTGGAGCTGCCTCTTTGGCTGCTGTTCAATCTGGTATGTACTGCTGGCAACAGCAGGCCATGCTTTAGCAGCAAGAGATGACGTTATTGTATGCCATGGGCACACGGTCAGGAATAACCTCACTTCTATCGCAACTACAAGTTAGGATTGCCGACACAGCGTGACTGAAAATCAAAGTCAAGAGGGACACCTTCTCACCCACCTGTGTATGTGCAGAACAGTTCAACAGAAGGACCACGTCGCTAAGTAAAATTCCTCCAAATAACTGGCTGTAGTTTCACCACATCATCAAGCACTTACCGTTTGAGAATCCAACAGTTTTCAGCAGTGCTAGTGCTCAGCTGTACTTAAGCGACTCAAACAAACGGAGGACACAAAGAGTCACATTTACCTATGTCTGGCTGTGGAGCCTGCTTCTTCTTGGGCTCAGCAGCAGCGAGCTTAGGCGCTTCCTTTTTCAGGGGTGCAGAGCTGGGTGGCTGAGACGGCGGGAGCTGCAGGGGCTGCGCTGCCTGCTTGCTGCTCCTTCTGGCCCCGGAGGCGGGCAGCAGTTTGGGCTCGGCCGCGGGCACGGAGGCGGCGCCGTCCTCGTGCTTCTCCTCGGCGGGCTTGCGGGCCGGCTCGCCGCTCTTCCTCGTGGCGGCGGTGGGGTCTTCTCTGGCCACAGCAGGTGGAGGAACTTGTTTCTGCCCAGAGTCCAACTGGTTCTTCCCAGAATGGCTTTCTTTCTTTTCATTGGCCTTGGATTTCTTCTCTTTCTTTTTTGCAGCTACGAAGAAAAGCATCGACACAAATGAAACGGTGCAACTTCACATAATACACAGCACTTTTTAAAGAAAGAAGCAGGCATTTTGATGTCAATTATTTTTGTTGTTCCTTCACATGAAAGAGAAGGCAGTACTCCAGAAGAAAACCTTATTGTCAGCAAAACTAATGCACCTCTGTTTCCATCTGTGTTCTAATAGTTCGGGCCTCTATTCCGACACATCAGGAAGCTGAATGCTGCTGTAGCAAAGCACACTCACAGCTAAAGTGCACGAAAGACACAGCAGATTTTGTACGCCGAAATTCTAGGGGTTTGAAGTGACCACCTGATCCCTGCCACGTTAACCTCCAGGAGGCCAGTACTGACAGTGCTGGCATTTAATAAAATACACCTGACGGCTCAAGGAAGCCCAGTATTGGGAACAAGGAGGCTCCACTCAATCTCCATGGCATCGAGGAACAGGTAAATCTGAAAAAATGCTTCACCTGAAGGGCAGAGAGGAGAGTGGTCAGCTCTCGGCAGCGGTTCCCCATACCGGGGAGGAATTAAAACACGAGCCCAGTGCTGAAAACAGCACTTAGGGGCTACAGAAGCAGCCCCTACTCAGATCTCCTTTACAATTTTCATTTGACCTCACGGGGACAGCTCCCGATAACTCCCGGTAACTGTGGGTTTCACACCAACCTTCCACAGCTCGGGGTGGCCGCAATAAGGGTATAAACAGAAATGTTTTGGATACGAGGAGCATCCCTCTGCCACCTCGCTCCAGGAGTGAAATGCTCCAGCCTACCTTTTGCTTGCTTCTGGAGATATGCTTTGGAAGGCATCCACTGTAGGTTCTGACACTTCCTCATTCTGCGAAGAGAAAGGGTTGTGCAAGTGAAACGTTAGAAAGAAAAACAGCAATCAGTCAATATCCCCAACAGCCTTTTCGAAATAATGGGGATGGGGAAGGGGACGGGTCCCCGGGGGACTCCCTGCAGCTCGTAGAGGGTTTTCATGCAGATGAGCGCTACCCAGCAGGGCTCCTGGCTACGCTCCACAAACAGCTTTCATATCACGGCAACCCACACCGCCTCCCGGCCGCGCACTTACTTGCAGCACTGCTTCTTTATATTGCGCCCCCCAAACTTGGGTTTGTCCAGGCAGTTGGTACAGACCCCGCAGTCCTCGGGCACCTGGCAGCCCGAGCACTGCCCGCAGCGCCTCGAGCGGCGGCCCTTCTTCACGGGAGGTTCTTGCTGGGCCTTGTTTCGCGTGACCGGCTTGATCGGCTTGATGGGTGGAGCAAGGGGTTCGGCCTCCTCCGAGCCAGCTATCGAGGACTTATCTGCCAAAAAAGCCACCGACGTGAATTCCCTCGTGTTAAACACGGCTCCAGAAGCACCCAGCTCGTGCATGGAACTGATCCTAGGAGGCACAAGTTCCTCTGCGGAACCACTCTTGTGGTACATATACACACGCACATATATGTACAGCTGTGCCTCTACACCTATGCATAGCCCTACACATATATGGAGATGTGCGCGTGTGTGTATAAACACGTACAGACACACCTGTATTTCAGCACACTGAGAGCTTACTGCTCACAGTTTTACAAAGCACAGTTTCATCGTAAAAATAACCAAATCAAACGCATTGCCAAGCCTGTTAGGGAAGCGTCTGAACTAGAAGAAAAGCTCCATTCCGTTTAATCTGCCTTCCCCCTGTGACTAATGGGAGCGCGCACTTGTTCAGCCACCTAGCACATATACGTCACAGCAAGGGAGGCCACGGCACGAAGCCCGGAACAGAACCGGGCCGCGTGAGCACGGACGCCAAGGCCAAGGGCGAGCGTACCGTCATTGCCCATGGAAGACAGGATCTTCTCGCGCTCTTCCCACGGTAAGGCACTCAGGGTGGGCATGTCGTCCGGAAACACGGCGCGCTTGCGGCCCAGTGCCACCGCCGCTCTCCTGCACACGTGCTTGATCCGCGGGCCTCGCACAGATGCTTCGGACGAGTCGCTCTCTTGTCCCTACAACATGAGCACACGCAGCATCCCTGAGAAACGTATCCAAGCGAGATCGAAAAAACAGGCAACAGAAACGCCACAGTAACCTAAGAAGACATTAAATTGTATCTTGACTTGCATTTCACACAAACGAGAATAAAAATAATGACACAGGTGCTCTAAGCCTCAGCTAGGAACGGGTCTTCTGGAGGCGAGGGAAACAGGGAGGAAAGAACGTGCTGGAAGCAGCTCTTCAATTGCATCCAAAGTCCCAGGGAATCCCCGCGTCCCCCAGAATTAACAGGCCATCAGCCCGCAGAGCCACAGGGCAGGGAGAAGGACAAAAACCCAAAGCCAGAGGCGCCTCTGTCTTTGGAAAGTCCCGGACACAGAGCGAGGGCTACCAGAAAGAGGCGAGCCCCCGAGCGGAGGCGAGCCCTTTGCGGCACCCGGCTGCCACACAGCCCCTGTTCCCGCCTGCTGACACGGAGCGGGAGAGAGCTCAGGAGCAAGGAGGAGTTCGCGCTCCTCCCCGGAGCGCCCGCAGCAGCTCCCCCTCCACCGCCGCCCAGTGCCTCTCACTTTGAGATCAGCTCCCACCTGCGGCACTAACAGCTACGGAGCTCCACGCGCAGAACGTCTGCGCTCTTGGGAGACGAGCGCTCCAAGCTTTGGGCGCCAGTTCGACGGAAGACGCAGCCTAGCAAGGGGCTCGAAGGAGCAGACCCACCTGGGCTTTCGGTGGGTCGGCCTGCTTGAGGGACTTGCTCTTCTCGATCTTGTAGAGCTGGGCTTTGGCCTTCTTCAGGAGGCTGGCTACCCTTTTGTCGGTCATGGGCAGCTTGTCTGCTTGCGCCAACATAGAGCTGATGGAGGAAGCGGAATGCTTGACGGCGCTCGACGAGGGAGCCGGGAGACGCGGTGCCTTCTCCTTCTCCAGGGAGGGCGCGGCGGGGCTCGGCTCCAGTTCTGATTTGTCTGAGCCCCCTCTGCCTTTCTTGGACGTTTTGGTTTTGACCGCGGCCGCATCTGCCAGAGCAGCAGTGGAAGCGTCTGCCGCGGCGTCTATTGCCGTAGACTTTTTCCGCCCGGCAGGCTTTTTTGCAGAAGATGATGCTGCCGCATCTTCACTGACAACTTTTTCTTTGGGCATTTTACCTACAGGAAACAAAGCAGAGCTACTCTGAATTTCTGACCCTTTCCTCCTTTTTTCTTTCCTTGACTCCCGCTTGTTTTCCTTCTCTCTCTCTCTGTCTTTCTCTCTGCTCTTGTCCTTCTCCACACTTTTGTCAGCATCTTTATCTTTGGACAGTTCCTCTGCAGCCCTGTCCTTGTTTCTCCCCCTCTCTGCCTGGGGACTCGAGGCGAACCAGGGAAAGAGAGGAGTAGGGCTAGTAGATGAGAAAGGCTCTGCCGGAGCGCTAGGCTGCTTCCTCGGCCTCTGGCTTCGCTCTGCGGATTCCCCGGGCTGCGTGAGGGAATGGGAAGGAAAAGTGAAAGTTGAATTTAAGGCACTAGTGGCAAGAGAACTAACAGAAATGCTAGTTAATGAGGAAGAGACAGAAGACTGCGGGGTGAGAGTTGCCAGGTCAGAGCTACTAAGTCGCCCGCTTCTCGTCCTCATGGAGTGCGAAGGAGATCTGGGTTCCGATCGGATAGGGCTAAACACTCTTCTCTTTCGCTTCCTAGAAGATCCACCTGTTGCGGGGGTCGCCGCGGCGCTGCGTCCGGCCGACGAGGGCAGCGTGACGGACTCGAAGATGCGGGAGTGGGCCTCGCTGGGCGTGAAGCGCGGGGCGCGCAGCAGCGGGCTCCGCTTGTGCACGTCGAAGCGCGAGCCGGGGTGCAGCGAGAAGAGGCGCGCGGGGGCCGCGGCGCCCGGCGGCGAGAAGCCCGACGCGAAGCCCACGTCCTCCGGCGTCAGCGGCGGCGGGCGGAAGTTGTCAAAGATGGGCTTGCGGATGAGGCCCTCCTTGGCGTACTTGGCCGAGGAGAAGTACTGCGGCTCCGAGCGGGAGTGCTTCAGGGAGGTCCAGCGGAAGGTGGGCTCGCGCAGGATCGACTTGCGCTTCTCCTGCATGGGGGCGGCCGAGGCGGGCAGGAACGGCGACGCCAGCGGGATGGTGGGCGGCATGAGCCACGGCGTGTGCTCCGCGAGGCCCGACGCGGCCGGCAGCGGCGGCGGCGGCGGTGGGAGCAGCGGCGGTGGCGGCGACGACGACGGCTGCTGCGCCGGCGGCGGCGCGCTGGGCAGCGCCGGCAGCTTCTTGGCGGCCCGCTGGCCGAAGCTCCTCTCGGCCATGGAGAACCTCCTGTTCCTCCTGTCGCTGCCGTCGTTCTCAGGGGACGGCGAGACGGGCAGAGGCGCGTGAACTTCCGGAGTGTTGCTGCGCTCCTCGGAAAGTGCCTGCATCTCCTCGGAAGCCTGGGAGTCCGTGGAGGTGTCGACGCTGGGGCTACTGGAGCGCGAGGAGTCCGAGGACATCTGCGAGGAGTGCTGGGAAGCGCCGCTGGACTTCTCGCTGGAGCCACAGGACGTGGCGCTGAACCTGCTGTTGGGCGTCGATTCCAGCCTGGATATTTTGATGGGCGGATCGTAGTCCTCGTCTTCGATAAAGCGCTTGGGTGTCTTGATGATGCGGGAGGAGATGGCGCTCACGACCGGCATGATGAACTGCCGGATGTTCTTGAGTTGCGTTCTCCCCTTCCTGCCCTGCAGCTTCGCCGCCTCCTTCTCGATCTTCTTCTGCGCCCCCTTTTTAGCCCTCTGCAGGAGCTGCTTGGCAATTGCCGCATCGGTCCTTTTGGTGGATGGAATAATCCTCACGGGCTTAATGCGGCGCGGACTCTGCCGCACGGCGGCCTTCTCCTCCTTGGGGGGCGGCGGCGTGCCGTCCTTCTCCTTGCGCACCCGCTGTGGTTTCTCCAGCTGCGAGTTGAGGACCAAGGGCGAGGGTGTCTTTAAGCGCTCCGAAGCCGGCGGCCTGCCTCTCCTGCGCGCCATCTGAACGCTCTTCCGCCCGATCTGCAGCTTTGCCCCGGCCTTAAATTTGGATTTTAGGGGGGAGAGTTTGCTAGTTCTTAACTTCTTGATTTTCGTCGCTTGCTGAAACGTAGTGGATGGTGACCTTTTGATTTTTTTCAGGCTTTCTTTCTCCTCTTTACTTCCCTTGGGAGCATCCGCCGCGTCCTTGACTTGCGACAGCTTGAACTTGACGCTGGCGAGCGTCGGCGGTCTCCCGCGTCTCTTCTCCCCGCTCTTTGATTCCTTCCTCTTGGCCTTCTCCATGGACGCGCTTTCGGACTTGCTCGAGGGGGAGCACACGGAGGACGAGTCCGAGGGCACCGCCGAGCTGCGGTCGGAGCCGCTCCGGGGCCTCCCGCGGGGCTTGCGCGGGCTCGACTTCACTGAGGGGGAAGCAGAGAACGCAGAGCACACGTTAACTTTCCCCGAGGGCCGGTCGCTGCCACCCCCAGCACCCAGGAAGCTACCTAGCAGAACTCGCGCTACGTGTGCCACTTGCCAAAAGCGCTTCAGTACATTAATAAATAACAACGCAGCTCCGTCAGGATACCTGTAAGGAGCTCCCTCACCAGAAGCCTCCTGTCCCACGTGAGAAACGATTTAAATCATTCATTCTACGAAAAGCACGCTTGCCCGTTTACAGAGCTACAGGTGCACTCGCACAACACGGGCAGCGCCGCTGCTGTGAAAGGCAGCAAGAGCCCTTCAAGGCAGGTATGATGTTTCAAACGTGTTTAAAGAGTTTTTAGCAGAGTGGAGCCACTCGAAGAGGAAAATTCCCCTGCTCCGTCTCCATCCACCTGCTCTGCTAACAGACAGGCCCGGAAGCCAAGAGCAACGTGTGTGGGGAGGCTGACGTGGACAAGCTGGGTTTAGCTTCCCAGTCTTTCGCGTTTGTTTCCTTTCTCACACACACACACAGGTTCAGCTAGAGCAGATAATTAGCCTATTGCAGGGTATGGGCAGGTACTGCAACAAGCAGGAGAGACTGACACAAAGGAAAAGGCAAAGTTAGCACCCGACGCCAACACCTGGACGTACCTGTGGGGGATCTGGTGGGGCTCTGTACTTTGACCTCTTCGTCTGAACCGAAACCTAAGAACTGCTCATCCTGCAACGAGAAAGCAGCCTTAGATGCGAGGGCCAGCATGTTAGCAGCCGACGCGCTGCCCTACGTGGAAGCAGGAGAAGATTCCGAGGAGGTGCCCGTGCCCAGGGCCGCCCCGGGCTCCCCGCAGCGCGCGCGGGGCCGCAGGGCCCTGTCAGGCCCGGGTGCTCGCCCAGGGCCTTTGCCGCTTCTTGCATCGCCGAACAAGAATTCAACGCCGGCCGCCCAGGCCTGCCACTGAAGGTCGGGGACGTTTCCCTTAACAGCCAACCCTGCTGCAGGATTCGTGCCAAAACTTACGTGTTGCGTACGTCATTTGTCGCTTCCTTCTTTACACTACTGTGGGATGCTAGAAAGTGAGGAGGTCGCTGCACTCCAAAGCGCCTTGCTGACAGCCCTGTGTCTCCTGCAGCGCTCTGGCTCCGTGCATGCTCTAGCTGGGCAAGTGCAAGCGCTGGACAAGGGAAGCGGTGCCAAGGGATCAGCTGAAGCACTCCTGCATTTAGCTGAGGCCCTGGGCAAGAGTTCCACAGGGCTCGCTAGTAACAGCGGGGAAGGGCAAGGCAACAGAACTACGCTTTTCTTGCATCTCTCTAGGTATTTTCTCAGAGTCTGCTCTCTCCTTTTGCTCTGCATAATAAATTGTTAACAGGGCCACTCACAGATGGACCACCAAGATGACTTTGGCTACTGAAACAGAGGTTTAGCTTTAGCACCTTACCCTACTCACTGCCCTTGCACCTTACTGGTTCTGGGCTGTATTTCTTGGCATGCTGCTCACCTGAAAACTTCCCGGCCTCTTCAGGTACAAGGCTGGGAGCTATGGAGGATGCATCTCGAAACAAGCACCAGCACAGCCACAGGCTGCGAGGCACGAGAGCAAGTAGATGGCCGAGGCAGAAAGGAGAGGGAACGAACTTGCAAACACAGCTGGTCCCTAAGCAGATTCTCGAAAGCGAGTTGCAAACGTTACCTGCGAGGGTGAGAAGGGGCACTACGGAAGGGAGAAGCGCGAGGGCCTGCGTGGCACGAGGGCGGCTGGTTGTCCCGCGGGGAGCCGGCCCAGCACCGAAGCTGCCTGCGCCTCGCGGCTGCGCCGGAGCTCGCTGTGCCTCGCTGCAGCACTGGAGCGGGATGGGCCTCGCCGCCCGCGGCTGTCCTGCAGCCGCCTCCAAGAGCGGCTCCGCTTCCCGCCGCATTCGGAGCCTGGCACCGGCGTGACGGGCGAACAAGCCCAAGCGAGCACGGCCAGCATGGCCCAACAGCCTTCAGTCTCCTCGGCCGGTGCGTTGCTTGGGCGACTACGAGGGGTTCATTCATTTCCCGACCCGTGATCTGCAGGCTCTAAATCAGCACTTGCTGCATTTTGCACAGCTGCATATCACGGGTCACGGGGGGAACCTGTGCCACTTTTGAACCGAGCGCCGCCAAGCTACTCTTCCAAAACGGATATAACAATTCTGGCTTGGGTCCATCCTCCTTGGAACGATCGTTTCTTCTTATTTCCTGCTTTGCCGTCACCCCAAATGCCTCTCGTGAGGAGCCCCATTGCAAAGGCAATTCCCTCGGCTTCGTTTACAAGCACAAGCAACATGAGTGCTACGTCACTCGTGCTTGTTCAGTGATGTCCAGGCCCGTGCCTTTGATCTCAAAAGGGCTTCTCTCACACCCTGAGAGAGACTCGCAACTTAGGAGAGTTAGACAGGATCAAGGTGGCCACTAAATCCCAGCATGCGTTGGCGAGACCAAAACATCCCGTCAGTGGAAACGCGTCAAAACTGAGTTCCGAGGCTGTCTAGGCCGGCACAGGCCCTCTCCAGTGCTGGCAGCAGGAAGCCGGTGTGCTGTGCCACCAGTAAAGCACAGCAGACAGAGCGATAAAAAAGTGCAGCGGTTTTCAGCATGGCCCCATGCATCTGAGCAAGGAAGAATAGCAGGAGACAAAAAAGGTATGGATAGAAGGATGAGACAATGCAAGAGGTGACATTGCGCTAAGCGGCCAAGGCACCGTCTCATGATCCAGCCTGCGAAGCTTCCCCTGCTTCTCCCAAGGAAACATAGGATGCTTCAGCCTCCAAGCAGTGAGCAGACCAACAAGGGAGTTTCTTCAAGCCACCTGATTACCTCCACAACGGAAAGTTGCACGGAGCTCTCTGTGCACATGAACTAAACTACTCCATTGCAAAGCTCCTGAGTGAAATGATCTTCCATGCAAGTTCTGAGTGAAGAGCTCAGAGGAAAATCCACGTGGAGATGAAAAATACCCGGGGGGAGGGGTGTGGACTTGGGGATCTCTCTCCAAGGAATAGAGTGTAAGTGATACCATTATGGATTCCTAAAGGTGCCCAGGACCCTCCGAAAGGCAACAGCGAGAAGGGCTGGAAAGGGCAGTGCGGCTGGTCAAGCAGCTCCTGGACAGGTTCACTTAACATCCAAAGAGAACCAGCTGAAGGGCGATTTCCTTCCCTTCCTGCAGCCCACCTTGCTCTTGGCCCCGGTTCCGCAGCACCTCGTCTCCTTGGAAAGAGCGCTGCTATTTTTAGCAGCTCATTCAGAAGCTCCCTTAGTAACTGTGCACAACACCCCGGAGGCTCCCCTCGCCTCGGGAGCGCGCGCGGCCCCGACACTGCCGGCGCGGCCCGCCGGGGCCGTGCGCCCCGCTCGCTCGTGACCGCAGGGACGGGCAAAAGGCAGCAGGAGCGCGCGGGCCAGCCTCGCCAGCTCGCTGCAAGGAACGCCGCCGTCCCACGGACAGGGCAAGAGCCCAGCCGCGGGCACCAGACACCAGCTCGGAGCAGAGAAGCAACAGAACACACGGGATCCAAGCATCCCACAAGACCGCGCTTCCCTACGCCCCACAAGTCACCTGCTTGTGGTGCAATGACACCTGTGGCTCGGCACCCGAACGCGACCGTGCACAGCAGCAGCGAAACGCCCCGCTGCAGCCGTCTGCCCTCTGAGTGTCACCCGGGCAGCAAGAGCGGCAGCCCACAGCAAGCGGAGCCACGCACATCAGCTCTGCTCCTTGGAGACTCCACTAGCTGTCACTTGTCACCAAGAAGAGTGACATGGCACCCTAGCAGGAACGCCCTTTCCAAGCCCCGCCGAGCAGAATCCCTTCCTTGCAAGGCTTCACAAAGCAGTGCAGGGTGGTTGCTCTGAGCGCTGCACTCATGAAGTGCTCCTGCAAAGGGGAGCGCAGCCGGCGCTGCTGAAGCACCTGCTGCAGCCTCCACACACGTGGCCGGGAGCGGCTGCCCTCGGAAACGGAGCCGCTGCTCCCGGTGCCGCCCGGAGCGGGCACCCTCCGCTCCCACGCACCGAGCACACCGGCAGCAACGAGCAGGACCGCGCACACGCACCACGAACGGACACCGGGCACCGAGCACACAACAGAGAGGCAGGCAAGGAAGGCTCCGGCACGCGCGGTTTGACAACACTTGGGGAAACACTCCGGGAAAACACTGCCGGAGCTTCTGCAGCCTTGTAGACATTCCACCTATTGCCTGTCATTCACAGCAAGCAGAAAGGAGAGCACGAAACCATTGGCATTTTGTTCCAACCAGCTTTACTAGGCAGAAATCCCCACTCCCCCTTACTGTGCCAAAGTCAAATGTCATCGTGGTGCTCCCTTGAAGCGAGCTGGTTTCAAGATAACTCACTGAAAAACTAAACCGCAGCAGAAGCAAAGGATTCATACAGAGTCACCAGAAACTGGGGAGGAGGCAGTGACATCCTTTTCCTCTGCCTTTTTTTTTTTTTTTTTTTTTCTTCTTTTCAAACAATGCAGTAATACTACAACAAAACAGCTCTCTCAATATCAGGACTTCGCTGAGGGAATGAATTGAACCCAGGCCCCACAGAACTACAAGCAAAGTCTGCTGCAAAGACAACCAGGGAAGCGCCGTCAGTAGCTGCTCTGGAGCTCTACCTTCCTCCTCAGTTAAGTGAAGGGTTGATATTAACGCATTTGTGGTAGGTACTTACACAGTTTCAGACCAGAGTGCAGCGTGCTGTTTGGAAGTCCAAAAGAGAGAAAACATCAGAATGGAAAACGTGAACACAAATACAGCAGGGCTTCTTCCGCTTTGCTTTGCTCCCTATAGATTCCCAAAGTGGGACTGTTAAGCAACATTTTATTCCGGCGCTGATTTTAACTGGACTCGAGAGCAGGAGAGAACAGCGCCGGTGCTCGGCACTCTTTCGGAGGTCCTAGTGAGTCCTAATGGACGGAGGACACTCTCTGAGGGAAAGAGATGCTCCCAGAGCGGTGGAGGGGGAAGAGGACCCTGCCCCACGGCTGCGCACCGCACCCCACAGGCAAGGGCATCTGCCTGGCATCCCGAACGCTGCCGAGTGCTGGAGTGCTGGGGTGGGAATGGGCGGCCAGGGCGTCCCCCTCCCCTGCTCGCGAGCCCACCAAGCTCAGCGCCCAGTCCCCAAGCTGCGCAGCTTCTGTCAGGACTTCCTGAAGCAAAATCCTGGCTTGCCACTGCAAGAGCACAACGAAAACTCCTCGAGATCCAAGCGACACTTTCTTTGCAGCTCTTAGCACCAAGGTTTTACTCAGCTATTACATTTTTAAGCAAAAGTACCCTGACTGCAACCCAAAGTTGCGAATACCATGTGAGGTATTTTAAACGTCTGAGATACAAAAACATACTTTAAGGCAAAGTAATTGCTCAGGGGAAAAAAATATATATATATAGTCCTTAAAAAGAAGAGAAACCCCAAGCAAGTCACCGTCCCCCCACATGAAAACTTCTGAACCTGTTAACTCTGCGGTCAGATTGGTTAGCCAGATTTCAGCAGCTTCTGCTACGAGAGCAGTGCTCGCGAGGCATTAACTCCTTTTAAATAGATAACTTCTGCCAAGCAGCAAATCCCATTTAGCCCAGTCTATTACACACAGACAAGTATTGCAGTCAACAACCTGTGGGATTTCGTGCCGGAGGGAGGGAACTGCAGCAGAGCGGTGCCCTGCGGCCGGCGCCGTGGGACCCGCCGCCCTCCCGCGCCTGTGGCAGCTGGAGCTGGGATGCACAGCGGGAGCGGGAGGCTTCCCGCGGCGCGCCGGGCCCCGCTCGGCTGTCACCCGCCGCGAGCGGGCGGCACGAAGGGCTGTGACGGGCCGGGATGCGCTGCGTGAGGCGAGGCCGAGCGCCGCGAGGCCGCCGCTCCTCGCTCCGCGGGGCGGGCAGCCCGGCCCCGGCCCCGGCCCTGTCCC